CTGCACCGCCTGGCAGCCGTCAGTTTCCCCGGCCTTTTCAGAAGTTCCATGAGGTTCTCGGTGCGCAAGGACTTCTCCCCCCCCGCCCCCCGCAAAGAACGCACCCCCCCCCCTTGGCGGTGGGGGGGGGCGGGGGGGGAGAAGTCCTTGCGCACCGAGAACCTCATGGAACTTCTGCAAAGGCCGGGGGAACTGACGGCTGCCAGGCGGTGCAGAAAGGCCCAGGAGATGACCCGGGGGGGGGGGGCTGGCTGCGAAGAGGGGCAGGTAAAGGCCCTCCCACCCAAGGCAACTGCTACAGGCCACCCAAGGAAAGAAAACGGCAGCCACCTCGGGGCGCTCAGTGCCCCAAACTGCTCAGCCGGCTGCTCTGCGACAGAGCAAGGGGTGGGAACTCAAAGGTCTACCAAAACGAGGCTCCTGGAAACAGAACTGGGGGTTTCGGCAAAAGGCTAAGCGGTGTGCGGCTGAACTGCATTTGCCTCAGCTGGGGGGCGGCTGGCTTGGACGTGGAGGGGCAGCCCGTTCAGCAGCTCCCATTCAGCCATGCTGCCTTGCTCCAAAAGGGCATTTAGCCCTGCTGGTTCATGCACCCAAGAGCCCTGCCCGCGCCCAGCTCAGGGCTGGCAGCAGCCATCCCCAGAATTCCCCAGGGGCCTTTCCCAGCTCTGTCTGGAGATGCCACCCTGCCTTCAACGTGGAGAAAGGAAGGCTGGGGCAGACTCTTTTCCACGGCCACAGGAATGAGGACCCGAAAGAACAGGTGCTAAGTTACAGCCACCTAGATTTCAATCAGATATACAGGAAAACGTCCCGCCAGTAAGATCAGTCAGAAGAACAGAAACCATGCCCTGCTGGGCGGGACCCCTGGCCCATCTCATCCAGCAGCCTGTTCTCCCAGGGGCCCACCAACTGCACCAGGAAGCCCACCAGGAGTCTCCCAGCAAATGGCCTTCTGGGGCAACCCCACCGCCAGCAAGGGTAAGAGCCCTTGGTCCCCAGGACTTCCATGGGCTGGTCCTGTAGAGAAGAAGGAAGAGGACCTTGATGGCAGCTCCATTCCAGAAGCAACGAAGATCAACGTCAGCCCCAGCAGGGTGACCAGGAAATCCACTCCACAGGAAAGCTAAGCCCGCTTTTATTGAGGTGGTCTCTAATGACAGTTGGATTGTGCTGGACTTCCTCCCCCTTCTTATACTCCTGCGAATCAGGGAGGTCTCTGTCTGAGCCGCTTCCAAACGCTATCTACCTGTGGTGGACTTAAGATATTTCCACCCCTCATCGCTTTGGCAATGGAGCTTCCTATCTCCGTCAAGGTCCAACTCTTTTTGAAGCCAGGCAAGTGGTTGCCAGCACCATGGCCCAACCCGTGGAAGTTTTTAAGAAGACAGCCGCCTCCCACAAATAGCTTGATTGGTCGAGCTATTCCCCCCACTGCAGAGGGATGGACTAGATGATCCTTTTGCTCCCTTTCATAATTCTATGGTTCTACTGCACTGACATCCAAAGTGGCTGCTCCATCCTGAGCTACGGACTGCCCTTACGCTTCACTCCTTCACCCCGAAAGATTCAGATCCTGGAAAAATTAGAACAAAGCCCCATCCTCATGCAGATCCACCTGGAGGTCTGCACTGATCTCCTCTCCTCAACAGAGCAGCCAACCTCCTCTACGGCAATGTTTCTCAATCATGGCAACTTGAAGACGGGTGGACTTCAACTCCCAGAAATCCCCAGCCAGCATGCTGGTTAGGGAATTCTGGGAGTTGGTCCACACATCTTCAAGGGGCCAAGGCTGAGGAACACTGCTGTATGGCATCGTTGCTTTATTGGCCGCGCCAATACTCAGACCACAGCTCAAGGAGACTTATCTGGTGGAGGAGCCCGGAAGGCAACGATGCAGCCATCCTGGGGCATCATGCAGAGACCCAGTGAGCGCCCTCCTCTGCCTCCACACATTATCTCCAGCACTCTAGCGCCCCAGTCTTGGTGGGCTCATCCCCTTCAACTGTGGAGAGTCCCATGAAGGAACATGCGACCTGCACATGGAAGCTCACGTGAGGATAAAAGGGCAGAGATGGACCAGACCACCCCTCAACCTGCAGAGGGCCCACCAAAGCGAACCTACCACACGGGAGGAGGGGGAGTGCTTACGTTGGGCCCCAAGAGAGGGAGGGAGAGCTGGAGACAGGGCATAAGGTCACCCCTGTCCCACTCCTTCCCTGATGAGGGGCTCTCCGCTGCCCCACTGGTCAGCCTCTCCTCCCCCCCCACTATATATTTCTATCAGCAGGGCAGCATTCACAGCACATTAAGCATTTCCATTACCTCCAATAATTAGCTGTGCAGGACCGTGGGGCTTACCTAATTTGCTGTCCTTGAAGAAAACGAATGGGTGGCAGCATCCAGGCCCAGCCATTCATCTTTTTGGCGGCCAGCTCATTCACCCTGTCACCCCACACAGAGCACAAGTCTGTGGCTGGCTGAGAGGACCAAGGCTGCGAGAACCCACCACCATGCAGGGTCTCAAACTGTCTACCTTTCTCAAACTACCTGTTTCAACGTGCCAGCCTGCCACCCTCCCAAACACCCTGGAGTGGCTAAGCCCAGGTGCCTCTCTGGGACTTCCAGTGGCCCCACTTGGGGCCAGAGCAGGGAACACCTACTGAGCCTTCCTGGTCCTTGGAAAGCCTCACTCTAACCAGCCAGGGTGGTGCTCTTGGCACTAGGATCTTGGGGCTGGGAATAGTGTAGCTGAATGACAGACGGGGACATGGACGCTCTGTCCACCTAGCCTGGGATGGAAAGCTCCGTGTAGCTCAGAAGGACCACACCAAACACTCCCAGCTTTTGTTCACAAGGACCAGAAGCCTGAGCTTTACAAATTAATAATTTACAGCTGAATCTCTCAAGGTTTTTCTAGCCAAATTTTACACACAACAGTGGGAGTGCTCTACCTCCTAAATTGGAATGGAGGTAAAATTTATGAAATAACATTTAATGCATTTAATTCAGGCTTCCCATGCTAATATGCAAACTGGAATACAATTATCCCTTTCATTTGTGCAGTTTTCCCAATTCTGCAGTACAATCCTTTATTCAAACCTAGCAGATCAAAAGGCACAAATTAGAAGAAAGTGCCTTGGGAAAACTATTTTAATGTCATTACCTACTAAGTTTAATGAGAACATTTAAATATCCTTTACTTCTTGATACAAACGTGGGAAAAGCTTGAGAGAAACGGAACGTTTTTGAAACGAAAGCATTCCACACCTACGTTCCTTCCTTCTTGTTAACGGAAGACCCGGTGGCTGCTTTCGGCAAAGGTGAGGCCGCGGCTCTCTGCAGCGGCTTCCTCGGATGCAAGGCTAACAGGCAAAGCCCCCCCGGGAGCTACTCACACGATGGCGTCAGTCTCCTGGGCCAGCCGGGGCGATGTGCAGCCCAGCAGCTCCCCCGGGGAGAGGGGCTTGCACTGGGGGGTCCAGACGCTGTAGTCGGGCCGGAGTTCCTGGGAGGCAGCCTGCAGGGGGGAGGCAGGAGGCGGATTTAAGTGGGAGACTTACACGCTCCCTTTGGCTGGGAACAAAGGAGGCTGGGGAGGCAGAGAGAGATTCAGGAACCCCATTTTTCACCCAGTGCAGAGCTAACTGATGGGATTCACTGCCAGTCCTTGCGGCCATGGGGAAGGGGCCCTGGATGGGTTCCCCGTGGCGGATCAGGCTCCTGTGGGTGGCCGCC